AAGAATGTGTTATTGTTGAACCAAGCATTGCAAATATTAATTGCTTCTGGAAACATTACTCCATGGAATAATATTTAGTACCAGTGATAATATTTCGTCTAATTTGATTTTGAAAAATTTGGTTCTTATTAGGTTCACCCCAATGAAGAAACGACATATTAAATTTCTGCAAATTCTTGTCCATACTTCTATCAAAATAGATAGGCATTAGCTATATATAAATACTGTGAAACGTAGCTGAAGAATTAATTTATTCTAAATTAAATTTGCATAGTTTTTAATTTATCACAAGTGAAGAAAAAACGTTGGTTTGAAACCGTAAGGTGAATATAAATTATTATGAAGATTGAAATATTTGTTATGATCCACCTGCTTAAAAAACTTAGTCTTAACACTAAACGTTAAGTTAGTGTTACTGTAAAATAAGAAACAAACAAAAGTCATTATTTTGAAGCCAATGATTGTATAAAAACAGATGTTCAATTTAACAGTGAATATAGCTATTCATGACATTACGGGGAATAAACAAGTAGCTAAATGTCGATCAAAGATACATGATGACCTGATAGATCTCTCTTTCTATGACCTGATAGATCTCTCTTTCTATGACCTGATAGATCTCTCTTTCTATGACCTGACAGACTCTCTTTCTATGACCTGATAGATCTCTCTTTCTATGACCTGATAGATCTCTCTTTCTATGACCTGATAGATCTCTCTTTCTATGACCTGATAGATCATTCTTTCTATGGCCTGATAGACCTCTCTTTCTATGACCTGATAGATCTCTATTTCTATGACCTGACAGATCTCTCTTTCTATGACCTGATAGATCTCTCTTTCTATGACCTGATAGATCACTCTTTCTATGACGTGATAGATCTCGCTTTCTATGACCTGATAGATCATTCTTTGTATGACCTGATAGACCTCTCTTTCTGTGACCTGGTAGATCTCTCTTTCTATCACCTGACAGATCTCTCTTTCTGTGACCTGGTAGATCTCTCTTTCTGTGACCTGGTAGATCTCTCTTTCTACAAGGGCTGGTCGTGATCCAGTGGGTATCGTGCCAGACTATGGACGTTCCCACAAAACAAGAATCGAGCTCCTCATTTTGGGGGCGTGAGTGCGATATAAGAGTGACGGTGAGATCCAACTGTTTGATCAAAACAAGTGTAGCCCGAGACTTGGCAGTGGGTGTCGCTAACTAGTTGCTTTCCCTCTAGTTTACCACTTCAAACTAATGAAGGAGGCTAAAGCAGATAGCCCTTGAGTAGCTTTCCGAACATATTCGAATACGACTAAACAAATAATTTCTGCGGCGATGTTATTATGGAACTGTTGGTAAATGCCAGTATTCTTGAGTGAGGGACAAAGCAAAAATAAGTACTGAATCAATTATTGTGCAATGATAATAATCTAAACCAGATACTGAGCAGATTAACGCTATATTGAAACTTAAAGCTGAATAATAACCACTATTTCCGAAAGAAATAGCGAGCAGGATCTTAATTGTTGAATCATACACTTGGTTAAACGATTATCATGATATGCTAGGCAGGAAACGATATTCTAAACTAGATGTTGAATACATATCATTATTCTGTCATGAAACTCAGCATTTTTTTAAATCTAAATAAGATGAAATATATGTTTTTAAGCAAATAGATAGCTATAAATCAGGAACTAATAGACATTGTGATGAGATTGAATACTGGGTAGAAAATATTATAAAAAAACAGCATAAAACCCTATCAAGAATATTTACTTCGAAATCTAAAACAGTAGTAGATATTTCAATACAGGAACTAAACATTGTATATCTCTATGATAATTATCAATTGTATTTATGTGTACTTGTATCATTGCTTCATTTTTTAACTCACCCAGACAAAAATTTATCCTGTGATAGAGCTGTGGATTTCGGAACTGATAAGCCTTCGTTCAGAACTATGCGATACCAGGAAATATTTTATGCACTTTGAATTGTGGGTGCGCTATAAGAGTCACAGTCATTTTTTTAGCTTGAATGGTGAGTGGCAGAGTCCTAGTGACTGGATGGATGACTTCTCTTTGGTCAGTAGTTTAAAATTAGGGACGGCGGCCTTAGTAACTTTACCATAAATATAAATATTAGTACGAACTGACAATTTTTGACAAAGCTACTTGTTTGTAGACTCTTGAACCCCACTGAATATATAAGAAGAAACAATATTTTAAAAGAGTCATGAAAAGCCCGCCGACAAAAATGGGGTATCAAGGGTTTTGAGGCGTTCTCAGATTTAACTGAACTGATTTACTTGAAAATTATTCTTGACATGCAATTACAATAATAATCGAAAATCATATTTTGAAAACTTCCAAATTTGTGGCCGCATGGACATCTAAATGACGGTTCATGATAACTATTTACGTTTAGATTTTCAAATATTCCATATCATTGAACTCGAATAAATGATTAAAGGGATTTTAGGTGATTTCAGGACTGAATGCACGGATTTATTCTAAATTGATGAAACATGTGAACGGTAGTACATAACATGGTATGGTAGAAAGTTGTGCGTAGGTATTGTTTCCCGTAAAGTTCATGTGTAATTTATTAGAAAAACAGTATTTTGAAAGTTGCAGAAATATTCTTATACCTAATGCTGGATAGCATAATAATAATATTTCTACATTACCTATTGGTAGACAGAATTGAAATACGACTGCGCATAAACTGCACTTTGATCAACATATGTTATTGGGTAATACTAGTTTTGGAGAATTCCACTTCTCATCAGTAGGAGTAGATTGAACTGGACCTCCCTTGAATTTAGACTTCGAAATTAAACAATTTTCAGAATACTAAGTATATTTATTATATCTGCTATTGTGCGGCTATATAATGTGAAGAAATGAATAGTGGCTAATGACACTTTTTCTTCACTTCACCTATCCAGTGAATACAAAGAACGTTCAGACCAACAGTATGTTTGTCTAAGGTTCGTAAGCTTCCATCTTGTCAGACTCAGCAGTTAAATCCAAGTTATTCAATTTAATCAAAATGATAAATATAATATTTATTCAGCTTTTTCTTAAATTAACTGTTGAATATCAAAGTTTGAGATTGCTCTGTTTCGAGTTTATGAAAAAGAAAGACATGTAAAATTGAAACAAAAGGTGCTATTTTAAAGTTGCAAGTATCTATATATACTGAAAACAGTCGTGAATAAAGTTCAAAATTGTTGTTTGATTTAACACATGTTTACCACTGATTGAAAGTTTTTTTATACTAAACATTAAACGTCATTTTAATTGAGAAAGGAGACGTGTGAAGAACTTTCAAAAGACCTACAGAAACGAAGGTTTTAAAGTATAAAGAAAATTCCATATTTAGAATTATTATATCCGAAAAAACTATTTGTGTTGGATGAACAGAATTTAGTCACGGTATCTTGGGAATGATAGGTTTATTCAGGAAAGCTTAGGCATGGCACAAATATTCCAAAAACTGTCACAGATGCTCAATATGTTTCAAAAACTGTTTCTTACATACTTTCACGTGTCAGTTGTAGGAAGCTAGTTTGCTATAAAAATACAAACTTACTTACTTGTAGTAGTTTTATTGCAAAACTACACAATAGGCTGTCTGTGCTCTGTCCATCGTGGAAAATCGAATCCAGGATTTTAACGATTTGAGTCCGTAAACTTATCGCTGACTCACCGGAAGACATTTTTAGTGAACAAAATATAACTCTTGTTTTTTATTGTAATGAGTATATCTTCTCACGCATTTTGGTGCCAATTCATTATAAAAATACAATATCGAAGCATAATAGAAATACAAACAAGAATAATAGTTCTACAATCTAGTTTAAAAGAAGTGTAAAGTAAAAAGGTAAAAGTTTTAACATCTAATATGATTTTAAAAGCAGTAATCTTTATTTCTTTCCGAACACTTATATAGATGCACGGAAGTGTCTCTAGCCATTTAAAAAGGATGGGGTAACACTACTGTAACTCTATATAAATCACCGAAGTTTTGGCCAAATTCGGTGTACTGCCACAGCTGTTCCAAATGCTGGAATTCCACTATTCTCGTGGTTCTGAACAGACCTAATCACTATTACATTACATTAAAACACTAGCTTCATATCTGTTTTAGATTAAAATAAGTGTTCCTCGGTGGACAGTAATAAGTTTACGGACTTACAACCCAAGAATCCGAGGTTTGATTTCTCGATGGACACATCAGATAGCACAATATACTTTTGCTCTTAAACAAACAATTGATATAACCTAGCAATCAAAAATTAGTGAAATTATGGTCCTTGTTGTTTTTATTATTCTCCGTGTTGAAGAGGTAAACAAAGAAGAACCAGCACGGAACAACCTTTCAGTGTTAGATGTTGGTCTGAACTACTGTTTGACAACTGTAGTACGTATAGTAATGCTTTGTATGAATATTGTTTTGGTAATTTTAATGCTGATATGCTCTCTACTGCCACTAGGTTAAAACTGAGGGCTTAAGGGCCCAGGAACAAGCGGCAATTCAGAATGAAAGAATGTCACAGTCATCTAAATGGATGTCTCTGTGTTTATAGCTTTTTCTAATGTTCGAATCCTCTTGGTGTGAAATCTGTTTTGCTTTTTTTAAATTAACTCTGTGGTGGGCACAGCACATATAGCCTATTGGGTAGCTTTGTGCTTAAAAATTTAAATCAACTTAACATACATTAAAATATATTATATCTGTTATAGATTAAGTTGATTTTGCTTTCTGTAGTTGAGTACACAGCTACATGGTAGGCTGATTGTGCCCACCACAGGTATCGAAGCCAGATTTCTAGCGTTATAAGACCACTGACTTACCACCATGCCGCTATAGACTAAGATAAATAAACTTTGAAAAGTGATAGAGAATATTTTGCTTTTATTGTTTGTCTTCTTGCTTTTATCCAGTACCAAGTGGACTAACGCAGTGTGCGTCTAGATTTTAATCAAGAGTTGGTCCCAAAATGGCATATCTGGCCATGGCTATAGCATGGAAGCAAACTGTGGGTATCGCAGTCGACATTCATGTTCACTGGATAGCCAACCGTCTTGAATGGGTGAAAGAAATGACAGAAAATCCAGAAGACACGAGGAAGGCATTAGAAAGTTGGCTACCGAGGGAATACTGGGAATAAATCAATTTGGTCTTCGTTGGAATTGTCCAAACTGTTGGACAAGGTCTTCTTGTTGGACCTAAGTGTTCATCTTGTTTAAATGTGAAATTTTGTCCTTTTGGAAAAGTAAGTACAAAGAAATCACTGTGAATGTTTATGTACAGACTCATTTCTTTTTAAATATGAACATTTTCCAAGGATAATAACTTTTATTTTTCTTTATTTCTTGTGGTATCATTATTTCAACTGTCCATGTATAAGATATCCGGATGTTTACATCATTGTTTCATCTAGTTATTTAAAAAGAAAAAGTCTTCATGCAAATTCATAAAAAATATTATCAACACACCAGCATAATAATGTTCAAATTATTAAAGAATTAACAAAATAATCAAACGAATACAAAAAAAAATCCCAACTATTTTCGACAGGCCAAGCTATAGGCAAACACTAACCCATGGTATTATGGTTTTATTATCTACCCTAATTCATATACTTGTAGCTATTCAGAAGGTATTTGTATATCTTAATGCAAGTCGTGGGGCCATAGGCAATAATCTTAGCACCCACATATTTCATGGCCATGGCTCGACATTCGACGGTGGAATGATTTTCATGAACAAATTTAAAGCTGCAGAATTATGTCACAGCCTTTCTGAGGAAAAATATTCGTATAGCGAGATTGTTAAATGAAGTAGAGGCACATGATCGATGTTTTGAGGAAAATAATTTTCAATGTTCTCTATGAAATTGGAAAAATCTGCACAGCAGAGCGTTCAAGGCAGAAAAAGCCCAGAAATCATACCCCGAATCAACACCTTCATCCGAAGAGTGAAGGTTACAGTTTCGAAAAGATCCCCCTAATTAAAAAAAAAGCCCGTGCAGTGAAGCTGGGAACATAATCTGGTATCATTAGCAGAATTTCAGTCAAGGATTTGAAGCTGACTTAAGCTTACCGGTGAGAAATTAAAGCTTTTTGGTGTAATCGAATAGTGGAATTTGACCGTCACTATTGAAACGAGCCCCCAGCCTCACATTGCAGAGCAAATAAACTTCGGAATCGTAGTCTGGACATGCTAAACACTGGTCCAAGCTGAGTTTAGTTCGAAAAGGCTTGAAATATCGTTGTTATAAATTGAAATTAACATCAGTTTATGGTTCTCTCTGAGCATTTATGTTTTATTTTGTATTCCTTATTTCAATAAACACATTAATTTTCTATTTGTTTGCCAATATTTAATGGCATGGATTAGTCTTGTGGTACAGCTCAGCATATCGGAGATGACACTTTAAGTTGTAAGTGCGTTATAAGAGTGACATTCAAATCATTAACGTGTATGGTGGGTGGTAGGGTTCTTCTCACTGGCTGCCTTTCCTTTGATCAGTAACTCCAAATTAGGGACAGCGGCAGACAGCTTTAGTAGCTTTGTCATAAGTATAAGTACAAATGCAGTTTTTAGCATTTTTTCTTTCATTGGTCATACCTAGATAAATCAATAAATCACCGGAACATTACTAAAATCTGGGGTTCGATTCTCTATGGTAGACAGAGTACAGGTTGACCATCATGTAACTTTGCACTAAAACATAATAAATTACTTGATGCAAACATTCATTTATTAAAACTCGAAAATACTAGAACACAAAATAATTTTATACCATTATATGGCTATAAAAATAAAGTTATAATGAATAAAAATATATTTCTACTCGGAAAAATAGTTTGAGAAGCTTTGAAATTATAATTAAGTTAAATATAAGTTTCAAGTGTCTTAAAGCCCATATACTAGATTTCAAAAACGAGAAACATCAGCGTACGAATCATCATATATGGTAGATTAAATTAGCTTCCTTCATTTTCAAAATACTCGAATTTAACTGTATTTGATAAGAGCATGAATTGATATTATTGCTAAGAATGTTGCAAGTTTGCTGTGTTGATAAATTAAACCTAAGTCGTGCTGTTAAACACTTCAAGTAGTTATGTTGCACACTTTATTATTATCATTCCTGTATGTTAGTTCACACATAACTGTTACTTCAAACCATACATACATAGTTCCCAGCAACTGTGTTAACACAGTGAATCTATAAGTACTTATACACTAAATAAACTATTGTTGTTAAATCGATGTTTGAAGATTTGTAACCGACATTCATTGAAAAGGACTCTAGAGGTTGAAATAAGAAAAAAGAATTATACACAGAAGTTCGAAGACGGAGATCGAGGTAACTTTCTCCTTTTATTTCTTGCTACTTAATATTGGAACCAGCCAAATGCTTGTCTGAAAACACAGACAACGAGCACCGAAAATACTTGAACCGTATAATTGAATCCGAAGATTGATGTTCGTGCTCCGTAGCCTGAAAATTGCGCTCCACACTTTGAGGCCATAGAAGAGTATATTTCGCCGTAGAAGAGTAGCCCAAGAGTTGGCGGTGGGCGGTATTAACTATCTGCCTTCTTTCTAGTCTATCAGTTCAATATCAGAAATGGCTAACGCACATAGCTCTTGTGTAACTATTCAACTAATATCCAATATAACAACAACTAACTAACTAAGGTAATGCGGTGTCAAACTAGAAAGTGTTATAAAACTTAGTAACTTTGGGAAATGACGAAGATAAACTAATGCGTAGAAAATAAGATCTAACAAAAATGATGATATTTTAAATTTTGAGAATAGCATAGTGTTAAAAAACTATAAAAAAGTGTAATCCTGAATAGGTGAAAGTTGTAGACACTTAAAAACTTAATGTTACTAGGCCTGATCATGTTAAAAATTCTAAAATATTTATTGCTTATTGTGGGACTAGCATTCATGCATTTAAAACAAATATTTTAAAACTATGACTTTAAAAATGCTCATAGATTTATAAAAAGAATGTGTTTTATGAATTGTGGAAAACTATTACTGCTATATTTAGAGTGTTTACTGTGACTGGGCAATTTAGAAGCCAACAATCAAACTTAAAAGCCTGAATAGTCCTTAACAGCTTTGTTTATTGTTAGGCAACGAACTACACAACGGATTATAGTACCTGTACATCTCCCACCGTGGGTAATTAAATCAGGAATCAGGTTTTTAGCGTTATAAGCCTTCAGACGTACTGCTGAGACGCCTGAGGCGTCATTAACACACGAGACGCAAATAAATTAGACAACCTTTATCCATCTGCGTTGACAACCAACTTTCATGTAAATACGCCGTTAAAGAAAAACAAAAAAGGACTTCGTAAAATAAATAATTATAAAACCAATAAAACAAAAGAAGTGGTTACCGTTTAATTATTCAAAGAGTTTGTCTTTGTTAGGAGGAAACAACACAAAGACATAATGAATCTCGTCGCTTGATGAGAACATCGTTACTTTCACATATTTCAATCTACAAATTATCCACGCGTAAACTATTTATTCGTAACTGAAGATTGCTCTTAGTTTAATCGGGGAAGGTACAAATGGAGTTGCACAAGGTTAATAATTAAGTGCCTAGTAGTTTGTTGACTTTATAACAACTATTTCGATACAGCTCCATGAAGAACTGCCAAAAGTATATAGTAATAATTCCAATAAATAATAAATAGTCTTAAATATGAGTAACAGACAAACTACAAAAAATTCTATGACCACTGTGACCTGAGTCATCAGTTGAGTGTCATGGCTCCTTGCACTATCTTCGGCCCTTAAATTAAAATCACCTGACGAGAATGAATCTGCGTAGTGATATTACCAAGTATTATTACTTAATTCCAAGTTTCTAAACTATATATTTATCATTTTTGTATGTGTGTATTTGTTACTTTATCAAACGTACTTCGGTTTCTCAGAATTAAGTTGAAGGCCATAACACTAGGATTCTGGGTTCGATAGCCACAGTTTAATCACTAAACACTTCATCTCACCACGTGTTTTTCGCTAATTTTTCTGGGTATTTAATGTTTTGAATATTTATTTATTTATAGCTATATCTTTTTTAAATGACCTGTCTGGAATCATTCACACACACTCAGGATTCAAAACATATGTATATATATAACTGGCCAGAATTATACAATATTATAAAGGAAAATATTAAGCAAAACTAACTTTTAAACATTTTAACATGTGATATATCTGATCTAGAAACATGTCATATTACGTTTTGAGTGATAAACCGTATTTAGAAACATGTGATATAGAGTATTTAATACCTTTTCATTTTCTAGAATTGTTAACAGAAATTCAGAACTTTCACAAGAACTATGCAGAAGCATATTTATAAATAAAACACTATTCAAAATGAACATTTAAGAGACGGAGGTATACCTTATACTTAATGGTGTTGGAAATTTGAAGGAAATAGGGGTCGACTTGGGGCAGAAAGAGACCTGCAAAATATGTTGTTTAGTAATAGATGAGAATCCACGAACACAAAGGTCAGTGGCAAAAGCCGTCCTCCACCTGTCCTAGGCAATAGTACTCAACATAATTAAGAAGGATCTCCGTCTAGAAAAACGACACAAGTTACGTGTATACAGTTTGTTTCTGCGACATATCAGTATCGCAGTGCAACTGTCGCACGTTTCAAGCAGTTGGAGGATGAACGAGTTATTGATACTAGTCCACACGAAGACATACAGGTCAAGTCGCCTATGGATTTCTTTTCGATCGGATTGTTGATATGGACGTTGGAAAACTAAAGTTCTCGTACACTAGATGGATTATGGAAATCCTTCAGGAAGAAGTGGTGAGTATTTTGAACACGAAAGCCTTACGAGAGAGCCTTTTGCAATAAAGACAACGCTGCTAGACTATTGTCAAAATACATTGTAATCAGACAGAATTTGGCAGGACATGGCGAAATGGTCTGTAATGACGTGTTGAGACTCAAAAATTATTTTAATCTAACGTAATAAACCCTCTGTAATATCGAAATGTGCCTGTTGTAGTTTATCCACTGAATAATGCGTGATTGTCTAAGCATCTCTTTTTGTTTGCTAAATTCCACCCCA